ATTTCGCAAGACATTGAAATTGGAAACAAATTCATTCATTTCATGAATCGTGATCATCTCAGTTGGTAAATGATGATGTCTATTACACGATAAAATACACACTCTATTTAAAATAAACTTTCAGGGTCTAGGAGATGTTCATCTTTAGAAATTTTTGCATTTCAAGTTAAAAGGACACTTCAGCTTTATTTTGACTGAAATTCTGAAATTCAAGGGGATAATAGACCATTTTCTGCCGTACTATTTACTTGCGTTTTTAAATCGAAATTTATGTCGATACTTTTCAAGTTCTTCCAGGCAGACATGCAAATACTTTAAGACAATTGAAAGGTCAGTAGTTTTTAAAAGTCTTTCAGACCCTCAAATCGATTGTCTGCAAGTGCAGATGAAAAACCAATAATGTAATAAAGTTTTCGATCTTCTTCAATGAAATAGCAGCAATGTGGCAAATCTCCATAGTACATTCCAAATGAGGGACAATTCCCAATCTTTAGGAGTCTTTATCATGATGTATCTTTATCATGATGTATCTTTAGGAGTCTTATGTATGTATATTCCCAATCTTGGAGTCTTTATGTCTACCTTTAAGTAGGTCTTGGAATATTACATGTAATACAGAGCGTACGATGTAAAAAAGATTTGGTTTGGTTTGTCCTTCTACGGTAATTTTTTTGTGCACACGAGGGCTAAACATACCAGAACATACAGTTTAAAGTGGATTGCGAACCATTAACAAACATCCATGCCACCGCCAGGAAGAATCTGATGCATGTGATGCCAAATGCCTGAGCGCTAGTCATTTGCTCCCGAGCAACTATGTGAAAAGAGGCAATATATTCGCCAGTTTAAATCACTTGTAATTTATACAGTCACTTGTAAATGAGATTAAACTTTTCATTTGACGGCTGAAAGATTATAATCCCTAAGAATTTTTAAAAAATTTACAAGCTAATTACCACTATGGAGCCTCATGGCTGAGTGACTAGTGCTCTTTCACTCGATGCCAAAGGGTTCTAGCCCCAGCGGGAGCCATGGATTCTGTAGTAGTTCTGAATTCACTTTAAAACGTAGTCCCCAGTATTATATATGGCTGTTCAACGTTGGGCGTAGAGTTGACAACCTTACTACGTAAAGGAAAAACATCTCTTGTCTCGTAATATGTCAGTAGGCAGACGGCCTTGGTCCACCATGGGGCTGTTGCGCCATTGCAGAAATATTGACATAATAGTTTGTACATGCAACAACAATTACCCAATTGTTTGTACATACATAATGCATTTAGCGTACCCCTAGTGTATTACTACTGTTGAACAACGGTAAACTGTGCTCCGCAATATGTTGCAATCTTTCCAATCCAACCTAATAAAATATTTATATTATTTTGTAATAAAAAATAAAAAAGAATGTTTGAAGGAAAATTTTTTCATGTGAAAATTAAATAAATTATTTATTTATTTAATTTTATCAAAGTTCCATTAAATGCTTAGTTCTCTCAAACTCCGTGAATTTAGAAAGTTGAATGACAACTACTCAAGAGAATGTTAAAATAATTCATATCTTAAGTAAGTTAATAGCTAACTAGTTAATACCAGTTAGCTACTAACTCCTCCATTTCTCTGGTTCAGAAGAAACCTTTTTTGCTTCTACTGAAGTATTTACTACATGAATTATCACCACGAAGAAAAACACCAAGCCTTATTTTTATTTCTCACTGTCACTGTGACCTTCTTTATTTTCTCTTCGTCTTCATACTTTATCTTCCACTAAAATTACGACTCTAAATGCTTTCTGTTGGAATCGCTTATATGCTCCATTTGGGCATAAATATATATATCCATGATATTTATGAATCTTTATGGACGATACTTAAGTACTGAAAACAAAGATTTTATCGAATCGTACCTTCCATAAATATTTTCTCTAATTATTTATGAATCATCATGAATCAATCGTTGCCAACAGTTTTTCCAGAAACTGAAGCATAAATTTCGTGTTGCCAACTCTTATGACTCATTTAATAGACAAAAAAATTATTTTTTTTTATTTAACTCATATAGTATCGAATTCTAAGTATATTATCGCAAGAATATACATCTATAAGTTTTCTTTAACTCGTATTGTGTATAAAATCTATGCTTTTCTGAAAGACGCTTTTAAAAGTTGACAGCAGAGATGGTACTCTCGAATCTTTTAAGTGCTTATGAAGTAAAATTTCTTATTATATTACTCTCTTGAAGGATCCAACAAAAAAAAAATTAATATTATATTATCAGGGACCTGATTGCCGAGGGGAATAAACGTTCTGGCGCTTTTTTGCCACAGGCCTTCTTGGCGATCGAATCCCGGTGGTGGCATGGATGTTTGTAGTGGTTCGAATCCACTTTAAACCTTTGAGTACCGGTCTGATTTTATCGTAGAGTGTTATGGGGGTAGTGGTACTCGCGTCCGTAGCATATCTTCAAGCTACACGTGCACCCTATGTAGTGCTAAATGAGTAACAGCGTTGTAGCCTTTGGTTATGCTATAAAGATTAACTGTCACTGTATTGTCAGCTGCATTAGAATAATATATTATATTAAACTATAACAATTTAATTAGTTTTATATATCATAGATTTTTAATTTATTTAAAATACTTTTTAGGACTTTGACTTAACTACGAAAACATTTATTGATGATCTAAAACGTTTCTTCGTCAGAAGAGATAAAAAAAAAGAAATTGTTTAGCGACTATGTTACCAATTTCGTAGGTTTAAACACTAAATTCAGAAAGTTAAACCGCTTGGTTAATGGACATGAAATTCTGGCACATTACTTGAGTTCTTTTTTTTTTCTTATCCTACTTTTCTTATCCTACTATAGACATCAACATTTAGACCAAATCCAAGCTGCAGGGTCCCTGGAATGAAGGAAAGGGTAGGGCAGCTTCTGTTGAGATGGAACACCTGAAGGTAGAAGTCTGATTTAACTCCAAGTTACTGAAGAAGGATGGCACTGCCTTCCGGGTGGACTTATAGAGGGAACTACCCTGCATTTGCGTATCTTGTGAGAAAAACCCGGTAAAACATCCACCAGTTGGTCTGATTCACGAGGCTAAATGCTGAACATCATCGAGTTAGCTCGTCTATTGAAACAGTGTCTACAACAAAGCCGACGGCAGATTGAACCTCAGCTCTAACGCTCACCAGAGTGCACGTTGCTACTGAGCCACGAGTCGGGAGCCTAAGTTCTGAAAGTATGGAATGGAATTTATTTTGGAATTGGAATTTTGTTGGCCTTTAGAAAGCTGGAGTTAAAACTTTTAAATATCCCCTTAATCATGCTTCTGAGTTAATGCTGAATTACTTTCAAGTAAATTATAGCTATTGTGATAATTCCAGTCGTTTGGCGCGATTGCGTACAGATAATGAGAATTTAAGAATCATGATTCTCAGACACTTTATTGAAAGGTAGACCAATTAGGAAATTCACTACTTTAGAACAGGGTCCTGAATGGTCGAGTGGCTAGCGCTCTGGTGATCGGTACCACAGGTTTTGGGGTTCGAGTCGGCGGTGCCATGGATGTTTATAGTGGTTGGAATCCAATTTAAACTGTAGGTCCCGGTCTGTTTAGCCCTCATGTGTGCTGAAGATGACTGTAGAGCGACAAAACACCAAACTACTTTAGAACAAGACTGTTTTTGGTTTATGGCCAAAAAAAAAAGTAAATATTATCTGTATGGCCAAAAATTTACCATAAAGCATGGCGGCCATAATCTAGCATGCAGTTAAGGTCTAATTCTGAGTTAAATCAATTTTAGTGACATTGTGGATTGAAATTACAAACCTTCCAATATGAGGCAGTTCACAAGCCGGGCAGAAAACATGAGAATGTCGATGGTCTTAGCTGAAGTTGACAGTTACATCTAACAAGCCAGGAAACTAACCGACTGAAACTCTTAAAAATTTTTTTTTTTTTCTTCTAATGCAGCTGGCAATAGACCGTGATCTTCGCCATAAGGGCTGCACTGATGTTACTCTTGTATTACCTAGGGGCGTGTAACGAGGATAAGCCACGGACGCGGAGAACAATGCCCCGCAGCGCTCTACAGATCCTATTAGGACCGGGATCTACGGCTTGAAGTGGATTCCGACCACTACAAACACCCTCCATGGCAGCATGAGTTCGAACCCGATACCTGTGGTACCGAACGCCAGAGCGCTAGCCATTCGACCATGAGGCCCACATTTTATTCTTATGCTAACAATTGTTAAAAAAAATAAAAATAATAATAATAATAATAATAAATAATAATAATAATAATAATAAATAATAAAATTTAAATAATACTGTGCAATAATAATAATAATAATAATAATAATAATATGACCAAGCTGTCAAATGTCTGGTTTAAGATGAACAAAAGAAATATAATTTACAAAAACTCAATTGCAATTGGACATTCGCTAAAAATTTTGACAAAGGATATGTTTATGTTGCTAATTTACCCTGTTTACAAATGTTCAGAAGAATAAATAATTACATTTTTATTGAATTTTGTATTGAATATACTCAAAACTAGTGCCTGCATAACCGTGATATATTTGGTGCTTAAAAGGAATTTTTAGTATGTTGGTTGGCTTCCATATGGAATAAAAAGTTATTACAAAAGATTTAAACATAGTACTATTTTAGTTGTTATCGTAGATGTTGTTGTTGTTGTTGTTTCTTATCCACGCGGCGGGACCATCCCACGCGCTCCCCGTACTCATGATTGAAGGGGAAGGAAGCAGCTTCTGTTGTGATGGAGCACCAGTAGGTAGAAGTCTGACTTTGCCAGCTGCCGTGACGCACTATTCAGTCATACGAGACCGGAAACCTACGGCTTAAAGTGATTCGAACCACTACACACATCCATGGAACCGCTTAAAATATTTGCAACAAAATTGTGGCTAATTTAAAATTGTTCGCCATTGAACTTTGGCCATTCCATTCCCAATATTGAATCATTACTCCGCACGCGTGCGTTCCCAGGTGGTCACCCATTTAGTGCGTACTGACCGCGCCCAATGATGTTGACTTCGGTGATCTAACGAGAACCGGTATATTCAGCATGGTATGGCCGTTGGGTAAGCATGGTATGGCCGTTGAATTATTACCACCATAAGCAGTATATTTGCTTCTGTATAGTTGTGCGGTCTGTGGCCAAGTGACTAGAAATCTAGCTTTGGTATCACAGGCTTCAGGTTAGAATCCCTGAAGGTGCCATGGATGTTTGTTAATGGCTCAGGGTTCACTTTAAACTGTAGGTCCTGGTCTGTTTAGCCCTCGTGTGCACAAGATGACCGTAGACTAAACAAATCTGTATAATTGTTTATTATGAAATAAAATGATTGCTTTAGTTAAATCACCATGAGTGGTGCAGCAGCCCCTGTGGTCATGGTCGTCTGCCTACTAGCAGATTTTGAGACAGGATATGCTTTCTTTTTACGGGGTACGGTTGTCAGCCTTACGCCGAACGCTCTAAAGACCTACGTTTTTAAAGTGAATTCCGAACTACTACAAGCATCCATGGCACCACGGGACTCGAATCGAAACCTGTGGTAGCCCTCACCAGGTGCAAGTCGCTCGGCCATCAGGCCCATATTAATACATAATACTATTTTTGTTGGTGTATTAGTTGTTTTATTATCATGATAAGAAAAGCAGTATGTTTGCTTCGATATAACTGCTTATTATGGAATAAAGTTATCACTTTAGAATTAATACATAATAAAATTTTTGTTTTGGGCCTGAATGGCCGAGTGGCTAGCGCTGTGGCGCTCGATACCACAGGTATCGGGTTCGAATCCCGGCGGTGCCATGGATGTTTGTAGTGGTTCGGAATCCACTTTAAAACCGTAGGTCCCGGTGTAATAGGATAGGAGCGTTGCGGGGGCATTGTTACTCCGCGTTCGTATCTTCCAGTTACACGTGCCCCCTGGGTAATGCAAAGTGGTAACGTCTGTACAGCGCTTGCCTTAAGGCATCCAAGACCCAGCTGTCTAAGTGTTTGCCAGCTGCATTAGAAAGAAAAAAAATATTTGTGTTGTTACAATACATGTTTCATTACCGTGATAAGATAAGTAGTATGTTTACACCTGCTGCTTGATAGGCATACTTTTTCTCTCACTGTTTGGCAACTTGCCAGCATCATCTATATCAGTCACGAGTTGGTTGTTGTGTTTGAACTCTGTTTGTGAGATAACAATTCGATAATTCCCAATTTCATAAATTTTCAAGTACAATTAAAATTTAAAAAAAATGTTTCAGCTATTAACCTTGTATTTTATTGTAGATGATTAAAACAATAGACATTTTTTGCATAACGTTTTTTTATCGTCCGATTTTTTCTTCCTAGCGCGCATTCTCATAGGAAACATTGTACTATTCCGCATGCATATCAGCACTAATGAGCTGTTCCTATGAGCATGCGCACTAGGAAGAAAAAATATCGGACGATAAAATAACGTTATGCAAAAAGCTCTCTATTATGTGGATTTCTTTAGTCTTACGGCTTTCTTAATCTGAAGTTTTGCTTGCTCGTGCAATATAATTTATGGATATTTTTAATAAATATTAAATTTGATAAATTCTGATATTTTTTAAAAAATTAATTATTATAATGTTCTTTTTATTATTGCAGAGTACATAGAATCCGTCATATGATTAAGTTGCTCGACTATTGGGAATTGGTTTCTAAAAAACAGACGATAAATAAATGAATTTTTCAAGACGAAAAAAAAAAAAAAAAAATAAATCGTCTGTTAAAAATTAAATCGTTATTCCTTTTTTTTTTTGTTAAATTATATTGTAAAATTGTAATTATTTTAATACTGTTTCGAAATAAGCAATGTCTTTTTTTTTCCGTCAAGATATTATATCAAATAAAATTCTTTAATGGAATTTTTATAAATTTAATTTTTTGTTCCATATATATATATATATATATATTGTGCGCGTACCCTTGTGAGCAGTGTTTTACTTTTTTTTTACATTATAACATATTATTAAATAATATATAAATATTTTTTTCCCTTATTTGTCATTGACACTATAAAGTGTCTTCTAAAATGTTTTCCTCAAATCACATATAAAAAAAAAGAAAATTCTAGGACATTCGAGATTTAGATTATGAATATTTGTATTAGAATATATGAGATTAAATTTAATTAATCAAATAATTTAGTACATAATTTTGAGATTAACTATTTATTAATCATTATTTTTAGAATATTTGAGATTAGATTTTTTTAGATTATGTCCCTCATTTGTCACTAAAACTATAAAATGACTGAAATTATTTTCTCACATAACATGCACAAAAAAAAAAAAAAATAGATTTAGTGCTTATCATCTAAAATATTAAGCTATCGACGAAAAATATTGCCAATTGACTACAGTGAAAGAAAATACATTAAATGCTCAATTTGCTTTAAATGATTTATTCACATTCAGTCCTTAACGAAAGAAAGATAAAGCAGAATAGATATCTAAGCCTGAGTTTCTTATATACTATAGTGCATGTTGTGCAAATGGAGGTACCTGGATGTGGTTGGGTTAAAACTTGAGTCAAGTTTTGGGTCACAGAATACACGCCCAACCACAACACATTTACATTATTTAACACATTTAAAGATGTGCAACTATAGATTCATGGGAGCATTCACATCTAAGCCTAAAAACCAGATACTCAGGTTAGAGCGGGATGCGCGAAATAAACTTCCTCTCCGGGTGAGAGTCTGTAGGCCAACTTCGGTAATGGGTTGCGTTAAATATCTCTCGGGATGGAAACTATCAACTAAAAACGATTGCAAAACAGAAGCGCCGGTTGCGCTGTGGGCGAGAGAGTCTCGAGACCTACTAATCATTTCTCCTAAAAAAGCCGCAGGGGGGCTCTCTTACCAGTGAGTAGCAGTAAACATGATTGCGCAGGGAGTCCAGGAAACATGGTTACAACGCCCCTTTTGAAGAGAACAAAGCAATCTTATGTACACATATTTACTTCTCCAATCATGATTTTATTAACTCTTACACGTAACGTTACTCTAAAATGAATGAAAATTGAATGAGTTGTCCATTTTTTGTTGTTTTATATTGCAAAGTAGGAATTTACAATTACAGGAAATGGATTATTTATTTTTAAAAAGTAGACATTTAAAGAAATATAGTATGTTTCTAGCTGTTTTCTACTAAAATCGGAAAAATAAGAACTATTGTTTTTCAAAATTATTGCTTTCCAATACTGGAAACATGGGCACGAGGTGATGATTAGCCGCTATGCATGGACAAAAGTGAAAGTGTAGACAATGTACAATAAAATGTAATAATGAAACAATGAACAATAAGTAAATGTAAATAATGAACAATAAGTCAGTGTAAATAATGAACAATGTGAAAAAGTGTAAATAATGAACAATACTGTGAGTAACCTCACAGTGCATCATGTGTAAGAGCGTGGATCACTGCAACAACACATTACCATAATAAATTCGAACGAATATACGCTAGGAAGAATCACAGTCTACTCTTATCTTCCTCGAGTTAGAGCCAACTTGAAAAGTTTCGGCGTAAGATCTTATCATGTCTTATCTTATCTTATCCGGTATAAACACTGAAACTTCGCATGTTGGATTTCGAACTCCTATGGTCTTTTTTTAATCTGAAACTGACAAGAGACCCTACTGTCACCACCACACACAGGTGACTTCGGCCTTAGATATATAGAGATTTTTTAATGCAGCTGGCAAATATTTAGGCGGCGCACCAACTTAGCACTACCCAGGAGGTTCGTGTAGCTCGAAGATTAGCTACAGAAGTGGAGTAACAATGCCCCCGCAACGCTCTATGATCCTGTTGGGACCGGGACCTGCGGTTAATGTGGATTCTGAACCACTACAACATCCAGGGCACCGCCGGGGACTCGAACCCGAAACCTTTTTGGCACCGAGCACCAGTGCGCTAGCCGCCACTCGGCCATTCAGGCCCTTTGTATTCCGCTATAGACACTGAAGTTTTTGATTCGTCATCACCAAGTTTCGAACTCGACGCTCTTTTTTTATTTTCGGAAACACAATGACCTCCCCCCCTCCAAACACACAGGTGACTTCAGCCTCAGATATATAAAAAAAAAAAAAGATAAAATTAATTTGAAATTATCACAAAAACCACAATTGTGTCCCAATGGTAACGCTCGCAGTTGGCGTGCAAAAACCTTTTAAGGATCAATCCGCTGGTCACTTCCATTGAAGTAATTAATTTTAAAAATTAGAGACTGGACGGTAATCATGTTGAAATGTAACAAGTAATATAAAAAAAAAAATTAAAGTAGAATTCAATAGTGAAAACTAATGTATTAAAAAAACATTATGTGTTCATCCATACATTTAAAAGTTGTTGTTTTTTTCTTTCTAATGCAGCTGGTAAATAGACCGTGATCTTTTATGCCATAAGGGCTGCACTGAAGTTACTCACTTTCCATTACCCAAAGGTGGCGCGTGTAACTTGAAGATAAGCCACGGACGAGGAGTAACAATGCCCCGCAACGCTCTACGATACTATTAGGACCGGGACCTACGGTTTAAAGTGGATTCCGAACCACTACACACACCCATGGCAATTGGATTTGAACCCGATACCTGTCGTATCGAGCGCCAGAGCGCTAGCCACTCAGCCATCACGCCCCTTCCATTCAAAAGTTAAATGTAGAAATTATGAGAAAAATAATTTTCATTTTAAAATAATATTCATGCGGATATATGACATATATTGCCGGTTTTATTTAAGAGTTTACAGTTATGAGTGATATGAGTTCGCAGAATAATTAAACGAATTCGAACGAATAACGAACTCATGATGCAACTGAGTATTTATTGTGGAATTTAAAAGTCCGGAAGATATAATTTTCTATATGGATAAAGAGAAGACGGTTTGGTTTGTAGCTCTAAGATAATCTTTTGAACACAGCTAATTAGACCTGGAGGTTAAAGTGGATTCCGAACCACTCGCAAACATCCATGCCATCGCCAGGATTCGAGTCTGTAGCACCAAAGGCCAGAGTGCTATCCAATTGGCCACCAAGTTGGAA